GGTGAAGGACAGTGAACTTGTGACAGGATAATTTCATTATCCATCTGGCAATTCTAGGAGAAGGGTTTTTCATGGAATATAACCACTGTAAGGATGAGTGATCAGTAATCACAGTGAAGTTTTCATTTCCTTCAATATAGCACCTAAATTTTTCAATAGATAATAAAATAGCCAGCAGTTCTTTCTCAGTAGTAGTGTACTTACGTTGACTTTAGAAAGAGTTTTACTAAAGAAAGCTATAGGATGCTCTAAACCATCTTCTTTTTGGAATAATACACCTCCAACACCAGTGTCACTTGCATCACAAGCAAGATAAAAATGCTTGTCAAAGTCTGGACTAGCAAGAACAGGAGCAGATGTTAGTGCCTGTTTAATCTGACTAAAAGCTAAGTTAGCTTCTGGAGTCCAAACAACAGACTGTCCTTTCTTTTTACCCTTGAGTAAATCAGAAATGGGAGTACAAATGGATGCAAAATTATTCAAAAATCGACGGTAATATCCTATCAATCCGATAAGTCTACGAATTTGAGTAGTAGTTTTTGGAACTGGATATTCCAAAATAGCTTCTACTTTAGCTGGGTCAGTTCTTAACCCTTGTTGATCTACAACAAAACCAAGAAATTTAAGAGAAGGTCTACAAAACTGACACTTTTCAAAATTGACTGTAAGATTTGCATCTTTAAGTCTCTTAAACAACATTTTAAGAATTTTGATATGACAATCAAAGTCAGGAGTAACAACAATAATATCATCAAGATAATAGAAAACATAAGGCTCCAGTAAAGGACCTATAACTGAATCCATAACTCTGCACATAGCTTGTGCACTATTATTTAAGCCAAAAGGTAATACATTAAAACAGAACAAACCTCTATTTTGAACTGTAAATGCAGTCTTTAATTTGGATTGATCATCCAAAGGTATCTGATAAAAAGCTTGTTTTAAATCGATCGACGAAATAAATTTAGCATCTCTTACTTTAGATATAATTGAATCTATTAAAGGCATGGGGTAACTATCAGGAACTGTTATCGAATTAAGTTTTCGACCATCAAAACAAACTCTATAGGAACTATCTTTCTTCGGAACCAACCACAAAGGAGACAACCAAGGTGTACTGGTTGTTAATGGTTCGATGACTTTTAACTTAAGCATCTCATCAACTCCTTCGTTGAGAATTTTCTGCATAGCAGGCGAAAGAGGATATTGTCTTTGCCTGATTGGTTTCGCATCACCAGTGTCTATATGGTGAGTATACAAGTGGGTTCTACCAATAGAATCTGTTGGGCCTATTTCCTTAAACAGTTTGACTACCGAATGTAGCTGTGAAAGCTGATAGGTGGATAAATCCTCTGAACTTACTATAGTATTAACAACACAAGTTGACAGTTTAGCTGTACTATACGAAAAATTTGAGAAATCTAAAGAAATTCTAAACAATTTCATAAAATCCATACCTAAAATCATTTTATGTGAGATAGAAGGAACCACTAAAACTTTTAACTTTTGTGTGCTATCAGATAAGGTAACAGGTAAAAACACATAACCTAAGGTACTTTGAACATTACCATCAGCAGTAGTTAGCTGTACTGAAACATCATAGTGAAGATGCAAATTCAGCTTCTTAAGAAGAAATAAAGCTGGAGAGCCAATAATAGAGACATTACTACCAGAGTCTACAAGTGCAGATATTGTTTCACTGCCAATATTTATTGAAATATATGGTCGATTATCTTGTGTACGAATATCGAGAAGAGGATTAGTTCTACATAAAGTATCAGACGTTGAAATCAACGGAAAAGAAATATTCGCAGGATTTAAAGAAACCTTGTGCGTTGTATCTATGGGAGTTTTGTCTATAGGTAAAGGATTAAAATCACAATTAGAATCAGAAGTTTCAGCTTGCGTTGTTATAATAGGTGGTAGTTGAAATGTTACTCTGCTTGTCCTTTGTTTGAAGTTTTCTTCAAATTTTTCCCTGGTATGTTCTTCCCTTTTAGGTTTGATGCAGACATTTGACTGCAATGAGATTGATTCCTGTCCGCTATCGAACAACCTCGCGCTTCGTTTTTTGAACATTTGGGGCAATGTGCCTTAATAACGTTCTTAAAACCGCACCCATAACAAAATTTATTTTTCTGGTACCTGCACTGAGGATACACATGACCTCGTTTGTTGCAATTCCAACAAATTTCATCAAGCGAATTTGTTTCATATGAAAACTTCTTATTATTAAAGTGGGGTATAGATAACGCAGACTCAATTCTTTTACAGTAAGAGGTAAGATCAGATACAGTGTCTATATCGTGCAAAGCCAAAGCTTTGATGTAGTCTGGCAAAAGACCACGTCTAATTTCAGATACTTTATCTTTCTCTGAAACGACAGAAGGTAAACGGAAGAAAAGAGCTTCAAAATTAGAGATAAATGTAGATACAGGTTCTCGAAAAGATTGCCTTGTAGAACGAATTTGTTCCCACAAATTCCTCTCATAATCTGCCGGAAGATAAGTTTCCTTTAAAGCGGCAACTAAGTCAGACCATGACTGAAATGTCTTTTTAAGAAGATGATTATGCCACCAAGTGAAAGCATTGCCATCAAACAGATCTCCTGCAGAAAGAAACAGGTCATCATCAGAACAATTCCTGGAGATTTTAAGCGTTTCAATTTGTTCGAGAAAAGGAATCAAAGGCTGTTTGCCGGAAAACTTTTGAATTCCCCATTTATAAATGGGCACAGACTTTACTGCTGAAGATGCAGTATGTGGTTCCAACCTAACTGGAGTAGATTCTGAAGGAACATTAAGTTTTTCCACAAGCACACCCTCAATTGACAATAGTTTATTCCGTAACTGTCTTTTGATTTTTTCCTGCGTCGAAGAAGTGGTTTTCAGACGAGATACACGGCCAGACAAATGAGTTAAACGAGAACAAATACATTTGTACCTATAATCGGACTTACTACCTGAAAATTCATCGATGATACTTGATAAATCATTAAGAGTAGCCAAGGCCTGATTATGGTCTTGATCAAAATCAAGAGAGACAACTGTTTCAGAGAAGCTTCTGTCTGCTGCTTCCTGAGACAAAATTCCACTAAGGACTTTTCTTTTCTCATCGACTGTAGAAGGAACCTCAAGATCTCTAATAATTAACTCATAAGTTAATTCATCAGTTTTCAAATGCTTAGGGTTGATGGTAGCCATTTTGAAAGATTATTTAAACAAACAATAATGTATATAAACCAAGTAACCAAATTAACTTTAAAGATAAAGATAAATAAATTTTAAGAAAATAATATAAAACTACTATTTTATATTTAATTAAGTTTTAACACTACCCAACAACACATGAACTTGTCAAGGTTAATGATAACCAGCAGACAAAAAAGGTTGGTGATCAAAAAAAACTATCAGTAAAAATTAGATAAAAAACTAAGTATAAAAAAGTAAGTAAGATAGAAAATAGATATTTTTACTGAAATTTAATAAATTTATTACTCCAAAAAGGAAGAAAAATGTTAAAGATAATAATAGCAAGAAAATATAAAAGTATTGTTTCAACTAAATACAAGAATGTATGCATTACTCAGAGTATATTACGTTGGTGCGCCAATTTGTAACGTTCCAACGAACATTCATTGGACGTCAATCTATGACGTGCCAACAAATATTCATTGGGTGCCAATTTGTAACCCTTCGAGGCTCAATTTGTAACATCCCAACGTTGAGCTGCTGTTGTCAACCTGTAACCGCAAACCTTAGTTTGCTGCTACAACCTGACTAACATCACTAACAACGTTGGAGTGACAAAACGTTTCCCGTTGGGACCAATTTTTAACGTCATAACCCCTAATGTATCAATTACAAAATTGCTACATTAGACGTTATACGAAACACTCCCTGGCTAGCTCACTCAGGACGTGAATATGGCCTACTCTGGAGCAACACACACAAACAAGTAAAAAGAAGAAACAATACACAGTTAAATTAACACATGTTTATTTAAATATAAAAAAAACAGAAAAATAAATGTTAAATATCGTATTGAATTTAAATAAAAATTATTCGACTTCTTGCTACAGTGTTACATTAGGTATATGAAAGAAGAATTTTTGTCACCAAATCCTAAGTTTTTTTCCTGGTCTTTTCTGCTCTGGTTGTTAGCAAGCCATGTGGTTAGTTTTGGATTTCCTTGTCTCGGAGTCAACTCTCCTATTGGAATAATGGTTCCATTCTCAGGCCGGTTGGTCTTCTGGATGGTAATAAAATTTGACCCGCACCTGAGAAATGTATCCCGGAGGTTGACTCCAAATCTGGAGACGACACAACAATTGGTTATTCTACTCTTAGAGAAGTCATGAAGAAAATCGACATTTTTAGAAAATAGAAGTCTTTATATCGACTTTTGTATCGAATGGGAAGGAGAAATGTCGAAAGAATAAAGATGGGACCTCTCGTTCCAAAGTAACGGAAATAGAGATGAAAATAAAATTCACTCTTTAGAAACTTGAGTAAAAGATAAAAATGATGATTATTAAGAAAATAGGAAAGGTAGATACCAAAATATATATATAAAGAAGATAGATTTGGACGCCAACTGGTTTTTATACCAAATACCAGTAAAAATGAAAAGAGAATAATGAATTAATTAAGTAACGACATAATTCTGATACAATCTATATCCTGGAAAATATATAGAAAAATAAGAGATACAATGGAGGATATAGAAGAATATGAATTATGACAGAAGATACGGAAATTGGAAAATAGAATTAACGAAATATATTAACATAAGAAAGGAAGCAGGCAATGTAGCAGTTATAACGCTACAACTTAATTCGTCGATTACCGAACTTCATCCCACTTAGTGTGATTAAACATAAATACTTAACACAAATAATAAAAAAATGTTATATTTCTGAATCACAAAAGAACTCAATTGTACAAAGCATAAAGCAGATTACTGTATTATTTAAACATAATTAGTTTTCACCTAAAAATCTAACTTCCGATCTTCTCAACTTCATCAGAATCTTCAATATTTAAGTACTGAATTTTCCGTTCAAAATGCCTCTCAATAGCTTTACACACGTTCATAGACTCTTCGGAATCAACAAGATTGATCGCAATACCACGTTTACCGAATCTGCCTGTTCTTCCAATCCTATGTAAATAAGTCTCACAATCTGCTCTTCCACGCATATCAACGGGCAGATCAAAATTAACGACAATAGTCACTTGCTCCACGTCTATTCCTCTAGCTAAAACATTCGTAGTAATCAGAACTTTTTCTTTTCCCTCTCTAAACCTGTCTAATACGTTTATACGTTGTTCTACTGTTAGATCCCCGGACAGTACTGCTACAGCGTGACCATCCTTTGACATTTGTTCTGACAGCCATGCTGCTGTTTTCCTGGTATGACAAAATATTATAGCTTGACCAATTCCAACGGTACCATATATATTGGTAATAGCGTTATATTTGTCGTTCTGATTCTTACATCTAAAAATAAAAATAATGATTAGTAAAAGTATTTTAAAATTTTCTAATTTGGATTATAAATATATTAATATTATTACGAAATATATTGTACACATTAGGCTGCCAGCTAGGAAAATAAACAGTTGGATTCCTAGTAGAACAAAAGCTAAAACGTCTCGACTTAAGTAGCAAAACTTGAAAAATTGGCATGCACTAAAACAAGGATGACCGATGGAACAAAATAATTATACATTACAAAAAGCGCAATATAGAGAACTCTCGAAAAATGAGTCGCAGGCCTATGTCCAAACATGGGTCTTCTTGGCTGATTCGATAGATATAGGATTCATATATTTGGGATTTATTTTTTTATTATTATTTTTTAAGCTTCCGGTTCTATGCTTATAGCACTGCAACCAATTGGCTTACTGTATATCTTCCATTAACTATTAAAAAAAAGTACTCAAAATTTCAAGAAAACCTGATGTATCTAACCTCGCTGCCAAGACCCGATAAATATATCAGTTCGTCATCTTCACCCAACCTTTTGCGTCCACTGCTGGACATTGGCCTCCCTCATTTTTGTCTATTGTGCTCTATCTTGAGCACTTTTCATCAAATTTCTTTCATCAGATCGTCAGTCCAACGAGTAGGGGGCCTTCCTCTACTTCTTTTGTCTAACCTCGGCCCCAATTCAAGCAATATAAGCACGAAGCGATATACTCAGCAGTGACCCTTCCATTTCCTCTGAGTTATTTGCAGTGTTTTAGAACTTTTAGCTGTCAGTGTCAAAGTTTCGGCACCATAGGTCATCACAGGTAAGGCACGTTGGTCAAATGTTTTACGTTCTAAAAAAATTGGTATATCGTTTTTAAAGATGTCTTTGTGTTTTCCATAAGCTGCAAAAGCTAGATTTACTCTTCTTCGTAGTTCGCATGTTTGGTTGTCTCTTGTAATATTTATTTCGTGTACAACATATATGTTTTTTTTTTCACCAGCTCTACTTCGTTTTCTTCAATATTGATATTTCCGCTAGGTACTAGGTTTGTCATGAATTTTCTTTTGGAGATGTTTATTTTAAGACCCACACTAACTGAAGTTCATGTATCATTGTACATATCTCCTTGAGTTTGGTTGTCCGGGAACAAAAGTATGTAGTCTGCGAATTTCAAATTCGTTAATCTTCTACCGTCAATGTTCAGGCCTTTCTCTTCCCAGTTAAGTTATTTACAAGCATATTCTAGTACTGCGGTAAACAGTTTAGGCAATAAGGTATCACTCTGTCGGACTCCTCTGCCGATTGGGATATGATCCGTGTTTTTCATGTAGTTTCACCGACATAGTTGCGTTCTTGTATGTATTGTAAATTAACCTTGTATATTGGTAGTCAATGCAGCAAGCTTGTAGTGCTTCCAGGATTTTGTCAAATTCTACCGTGTCAAAGGCTTTATGGAAATCTACAAAAGCCAGAAGGAGTGGTCGATTGTATTCGATAGTCTTTTCTATTGCCGTTTTAATGCTCTGTAGGTGATCATTTGTTCCAAATCCCGCATGAAATCCTGCTTGCTCTATTGGCTAGTAGAAATCAAGTTTTTTCTCAAGACTATTCGTTACTATTCTTGTAAAGAGTTTGTATAGGTGATTAAGAAGACTTCTATGTCTGTAGTTTTCTATGTTAAAAAGGTTTTTTATTTTCTTAAGTAGGCAAGTGCCTCCGATTTTGATTGCATCAGTAACTACAGAATCTTCGCCTGGAGATTTGTTATTCTTAGCTTTTCTTAGGGCTAGTTTTATTTCGTCCATTGTAATTTTCGGTAGTAGTTATGATCCTTGGTTGACAATGCCGTTTTTCCTTCTTAATATTTCTGATATTTGTAAATCAAAATTGCATGTTAAGTACACTACCAATTTTGATATTTTCTTTCTAATTGGAAATTCGCATATCTTGTCTAAAATAATTTGTTGTGTATTGTAAGATGAAATTATTTTCTTACAGAAATTTATCAGGATGCAAAATATTAAAAATTTAATGAAGTTATTGATTTACCAAAAAAAATTTAATTATTTACTTAACATATAATGTTACCTGTTTAACATAAAAAAATTGGGGATAACCAACCTCACATCAATCACCTGCCAAATTCATATCGGACATTGTAGTCGATAATGTGACGTCAGTTCTGTCAGTGATCAGCTACATGTAAAAATATCAACACGTTCCATCCTTAGTATATTATATAAATGTAGCCCATACTGAACGAAAAACGTGAGACGCATTAGAGAGAATACCCGTCACAAAAGTGAGCATGTGATTTGTTGGTATGACAACCCCACCCAATCATAGCTATGGGATGTTGGCACCTCATTGATCGAATTTCGTAAAAATAATTATACCGTCTGAATGGTCACGTTTTGGTCACAAATGGTCAGTTGGTTTCAGCTTTTGGTCAGGTCTGGTTAATTTTTTATTAAGGGTTGAAAATTTTCAAGGACAAAAAAAGATGTTGGCACCTCATTGAACGAAATCTATAAAAAAAATGACTGCATTCGATAGAGATTAAAACGCTGACAAATGGTCAGATATATTGAGAGTTTGGTCAGGTTGTTTTAGGGGTGAAAATAATTAATAAAGTTGCAATCACCTTAGCACGCAAGCGCAGTCCATTAAAAATTTTAAAAATACCAGGATCGCAGTGCCTTGCCGCAATAAACATTTTAAAAATACTAGGAGAACAGTAGGTTCCCGCGTTTCCCGAAATCACTATGTTACAGCTAGTATTTCTGAAATATAATTATACCACCTTAAAGATCACAAATTAATCTCCAATGGTCAGATATATCCAGAAATTGGTCAGTTCTAATTAATTTTTTATTAATTATTGAAAAAATTTCAAGGACAATTGATGTTAGTTTCTCATCTAAATCTTAACATTTTTACAAGACACCAAGTCTTACAGTGTTGCGCGATTTTGAATATTTGATGAATTGTAAGTTTTCAACCATACACATTCTTTAAATTTTAATCATAGGAAGCGGTTATAGTAAAACTTGTTGATATCTAGACAGTGTAACAGTTGTTAATGATACTAGGAATTGTAATATATTTCTTTGTTTTGGATATTCGGACGTGATTAATACAAATATATTCGAACGAGATTAACTTCGCTGATAAGTTTGGCAAATATGGATCTTAATACACATGCTCTTAAATATACACCGTTGTCGCTTCTAAAAATTAGTTTTTCTCGTCTACTATCATTGCTATAGCTTTGTAGAATATCCAATTTATAATTCGTAAATCTGATCTGATTTTTATGCAGTCATTTTACTTATTCTTTTATTAGAATAGATGTAAAAAAATATTACTTAGACGCATAAATTCATAGCAGTTGTAATTAAGAAAATTGCTAAGGGTCATTAAAGATTCTGGAAATTCTCAAGTATTTTTGAGACATACTGTGTTCTGACCTGACTCAAGTGTTCTGTGACTGTTTTCTGTTAAAATATTGATATGGAGTAAACAAAATTTAAATATTAGCGCCATATGTCATTTACAGGAAGTTATTGGTACAATATAAACTGTCAATTGTATTCACTTTTGGAACAAAATAAAGTATTCTTAACCGTATACTCAACTGGTTCGTTTCATTTGTAAGTTTTAACAGGTTATAGTGACTCAGACCATTTTTTCCGTTGGTAAATAGATAACCGTTGTATACTAGTAAATGTTAAGGTTCACAATAGCAGTGAATTACATGTCTACGGTGCCAAAGTTATGAGGCCGCGAAAATTACAATGATTGGGTTTTGCAGTGCAAAATTATCTTGTTCTAAAAGGTTTGTCTATGTGTTTGGACGGACTGAAACGAGTAGTAAGAAACACTAACCGAGTTAGTTTTTGTGCTTGACCCATCGATATATATACATATAAAACAAACAAAAACCGCTAAAAAAATTTGGGACGCTTTAAAAAAAGTTGTTGAGATTGTTATTTCTATTGATCCAATCAAAACAAAAGTATTGGACATGGAAAGTGATATTGTTCTAAATCTATTTTCTTGTGGCATTTTAACATTAATTACTATTTAACTGGGAATAAGCCACAATTAAAGATAAAAATACGTTTATTGACGTTTCAATTTCCACTTCGGAAATCTAAATTGTTTTATATGTGATTTCCGAAGTGGAAATCGAAACGTCAATAAACGTATTTTTATCTTTAATTGTGGCTTAATCCCAGTTAAATAGTAATTAATTTATGGAAAGTGATGTTGGTAAGTGCGTTTGCAAGTGGTACTAGTAACCGAACCAATCACAACAGACAGTTTGAAAATCACAGAAGTGATGACAGATAAATAACAAGAGAAACAGAGATCTGTCGAAAATTAGATGTTATCGTCGTAAATAAACCGGTTACTATGAAAATGAATGTCGGAAGGTTAAAACATCCGAAAAACATGCGTTTAGTGCCGCTCTTCTCAATGGATACTTGGAAAAAAAACTGAATTCACAAATGAGGGTTTCAGTTGTTAAAAAGGCGTGGCATCAAAGATGAAATAAAAAACACCAAGCGCTCAACGCTACTAATAATGTAAATCAAGTAAATAATGTTTTGGAAAATATTAATTATAAGAAATCAAAACATGAACCTTGTATCTATAAAAAAGAAAAAAACAATAAAATTACGGTTGTAGAAGTATAAATGATTTTTGTGTGTTTTCAAATCATCAAAGTGAAACAAGTAGACTAAAAAAAATGACCTAAAAAGTAAATTTGGTATTAAAGATTTTGGTAGAATTAAGGAATGGTTATTTATGCGAATAGACTTTGATCCAAATAAAGGGTATATTGCTTTGAATCAGAAAAACTATATTATTCGGTTGTTAAAGAGATTTAACATGAGTTATGCCAAAGGACTTAAAACTCCAATTGAACCAAAATTATCCTTAACAATTGATGATATTAAAATTGTATTAGAGATTTTCTTATAAGTTTCCTTATCAGATGGTAATTGGTAGTTTG